TCCAGTTGTGACTATGCATTTCAATGAAGCGACTCAGGATTACAAGCTAATGGTATTTTTGGTGCGAATTTTATCTGTCAAAACGCTTGGTAACCCACTTAATTTGGCATGCCAATCTAGATATTCGGGGTTAATATTTTATCGAACTTGGTCATATTGTCTTTTTATATGATTGCAAATTAATTAATTTAATTTATAGTAAGTATAGTCGACGTAGATTAGCCCTGTAAAAAAATATTACAATGAAGTGTGAGCAAATAAAAAATAATGAGACTATGCAGTTATCTCAATTTCAAACTGTTCACACTGAATAAAATAGGATCCGGTTTTATATCTACCTTCTATGCTTTTCCAATCATCATGACCTAACTTGCATAATGGGCAGGTCCTAGAGGGACCGCATAATGTCTTATCAGTAATGCCATAATAATCGAAGTCTTCACTACTATATTCTCTATATAAGTGGGGATATTGATCCAATTTCTTGTTGCGAAAATAGGATCGATCATAAGTCCTAGGAATTGATACAGGTGATACACTTGCTTGAGGTGTGACTGGTGAAAGGTCATGACTTTGATCGTTACCAATGGTAATGGTTTAGGTCACATGACCCTGATCGTTATTAGTAACAGTTTCTAGAAATATCACTCGCGCTACAAGTGACTAACTAAATTCTATCTATCCCAACCCCTTTTTCTCCAAATAGCATAAGAATATTTTTAGCTCTATGTGTTCGGATTCGCAAATTGCCCAGAGTGACATTAGGTAAATACTGCAACATTTCTTTGTATGTCATCGATCTTGCTGTCTTATCTTTAGTCTTGCCATCAGCTGTAATATTTTTTACTTTTTCTTCGAACTCGAGGGAATAATGATACAAGCATAAGATTTCTTTTAGACCCATTCTTATAGTCTCATCAATCTAATAAGCTAATCTCTGTGTAGAGCCCTCAATTGCATTGTTTAAGATGGGCTCATCATGTAGTTCAACTGATGCCACTGAAGAAATAGGTCTAGAGAGATCGCGCTTTAAAATTTGTTCAGTGACTTGATTTCTATCAAGCGGTTGTCTAGCAATCGGCCCAGATATTTCATCAGATGGGGCATCCTCGCTATCAGTACAAGTGATCATTTTCGTGTCGTATTATAAGTTGTCCTCAATGGATGATGGAGCAGAGATATTGTCGCCTATGCTAAGTGATAATTTCAAATCTTGATCGTTACCATTGGTAACGGTTTTTTTGTCACATGTTAATTTCGAATCTACAGAAGTAGCAGCCAGAACTTGATTTTTAGCTGACTCACGCGTGATTCTATGAAGCTCCAGGAAGTTGCTAAATGCTCTAGTGTTGCACTTTCCATTTTCACTAAAGGTGGGATCACGCAACTTTCCAGCCTTTATAGCCTCTTGAATCCAGATGAGTAGTGTTCTTGCACGTTCCGGATCCTTCTCCATAGAAACGAATGGGCGAGGCTCTGGACTATTCTTATATTCACCTTTATTCTTAGCATATCCAGTACAATACCAAGAATAACCGTTTTCATACCATACTGGAGGATTTGAAGGGTCAGCTTTGTAGTGATCGATCCGGAGGCTAAATACTTCAGCAGGCCTCATACATAACATCACCATTACATCTGCGAGATCCTGCATAGAGGGATCTTTTGTGATGTCAATATCTTGAAGCCTCTTAGATACCCTTGCTATGGAGAAATATATTGGAGTCCTTAACCGATTCTCGGCTAAAATTTGATCGGTTCGTTCCTTCTGAATTTTGTTAGAAGCTGTAGTGACATTCGGATCTTTGGCATAAGTATCAATAAGTTCTTGAGCAACACCAGCCTTCCGCAATTCGTTACGAAATAGTGAGAGCCGTGAACAACCGGTGACAATTTCTTTATCGTCATTACTTTTTGGACCTATATCACGAACATGAATGAAAATATCCCACTTATCGTCGGTCTTAGCACAATATTTTGCTCTTTCCTCTATGGTAAGTTTTTATCTGGCACGAGAGTCTCTATTTGCTCTTTACTAAATTTGCGTCTGGTAAGAGCAACTTTAACACATCTACGGACCATCCAATCCGGAAGTGAGGCACCAAGTTCGCTGGCATGCTTGCTTAATTGTTCCGGGGTCGACTCAGCGGATAAGTTATATTTTTCTAAAAGCTGGTCTAAAATCAAAACAAAATTATTAGTTTTTGGTTGACGGACCTTTGGGGCGCTTGTTTTAGTGGACATGGTAATGAAAACTAGATCGTAACTGTTATCTAGCTATATTATGTGAGAAAAAGTTCAATTCGAAAAATTATATCCCACCTGGCCGAAAATGCCAATTATACAGTATCTCGGAAGTTATAGTTGCTGGGGATGTTCCATTTTTGAATATCTATAATAAAAGTGAAGATGAAGTTTTGAGATTATTAGTATCAAAATTACCTAGTATGGCCCTTTTACATGCCAATACATCAAGAGAGATGGTTCGATTTGTGGGAAAGGGTGCTGGCGTCCTGAAGGATGTTCCAGACATTTTAATGCCCTTCCTAGAACAATATGCCCTGTCTATAAAATGGGAACCTATTTCGATACTGAAATTTGTAGCACACAGTGGACCTTATGACCGTGCCTGGCGCAAAAGTAAATGGAATCAGATATGATTGAGACACCTAATGTAGCTGAATAATAATCTGGCCAAAGTATTATTTTTCCTATCCTATAGAGTCAAAGAGTTCCTGAATATCATTATCTGTTTTCGACCTGTATGATGGAAGCTCTGGTGCACCTTTATCTCCAAAACCAAGACCATCATATGGTTGCCGATTAATTTGATATGAACGTTCCCAAACCTGTTTTTCTTTAGGCCCTATTTTTTTACTATATCTTTACAGTATAGCCACGCCAATTTCCAGCAATTGCATTAATTGCCCTTATAGCTGAATTAAGATCCGATGTTACCTTAGCATGAGACTTAAATCCAAAGAGTAATAGGGATTGATCCAGGACTTCTATAAACCTCTCGCAAGATTGTGTGAATGTTTCAAATACTATATTACTGGAAAGAATACGCTTATCATCTATGCCGGTAAAGCCTAGTATTTGAAAGAGTTCCCTTATAACTTTCCAATGATTAGCTGAATATGATTTGTGCAAGTCCTCCGCTACTGATTTCTCGGAATTATATCCAGTTTTATAATGTCTTTCTTCCCATTGCGCAATATCTTGGCCTCTAACCCTTTCATTGCACTTTTCTCATCATAGCCTTGCTTTCTAAAGTAAGATAACTGCAAGAAATGTTTCCGAGGTTCGGGCGGACTGAAATGTTTTACAAACTTTTTATTGCAAAGATTATCCAAATCTCATTGTCTATATCTTTACCATAAATATTTCGCATATAGAAACGTTTAAGTGCCATAGTATCTGGGATAGAGTGCTCTTGGTCAAATTTAAGATTTTCAGCTTCTTCAGGATCGAGATTCCGGGAAGTAGCAACTGCATCAAAATCTGTTTTCTTGATAATTAGTGCCTCAATCCTAACCTCATTGTGGACATTTTTACGATTCCCTATAACTCCTTAGCTTTCATTCATTTTTATTAGTTGAAGAGAAGTTTTAGCTATATACAGCACACCTTAGCTATATATATCTTAAAAATATCTACATGGACAGGTATCTTTTAATATAGTGCAGTCAATGTAAACCCATTTTCAAATGTAATCCATCAATGTGGCTTGTTGCCGGAAAAAGCTCTACTACTCCATACCTACATTTATGTTATCCTTCCTTGACTCTCACATGTAATACTTGACAGGTTCTGGGACTAATGATGGGTCCCTAAAGTATTTAGCATATAAAATTTTGCAGATCACTTATGTTCTTTTTTGAGGGACAAATTCATGGCTCTTCACTTTAATAGGGACAAAAGTCAGAAAATGCTATAAATCAATGATTTAGATAATGAAGAACAATTGTGGATAGTTATTTTATAGTTATTAATTTAAAAATTTTAATGTATCTTAGTGAGAGACATTTGACTTATGTCCCTACCTCCCCTTTTAGGGACCCATCTTTACCTGTGACTGTAATATAGAACTTCTTTAATATCTCATTCTGCTAGATGCTCTTTTTACAGTATTTATTACAGTATGCATACAGAATACCTATGTGAAGTTTTAGATATCATCTCATTCCATCAGTGATTCTTTTTACATGACTTATTACAGCCTGCCTATGAGATGACCATGTAAAGTTTTGGGAAAGATATTGATTTGGTAAAAACTTTTTTCTAACTAACATGCTTAAGTACCATTGATTATTTTTTTATTGTGATTTTTATTTACTTCAAAATAATGTTGTACATATAATGATTTTTTATACATGATAAATATATTATATACTATACATTATATACTAACTAGCTCATTAAATAAAACCATATGATACTTTCTTAATTTTTCTTATAACAATTTTATAAAAAATCTAATTATTAAACCATTGTGTTTGTTTCAACCTGCTTTTGAATTTGAGACTTTAATATAGTCTATAAATTTCTTCTTCTACCAAGGTCTCTTGATAATAAGTTTTATTATCTTTGATCATACTTTGTACATCCTAACAATGCAATGTTTATTCTATGTCAGAACTTCAGTTTTCTTAACTTGATAGTTTCTTTTAGTCAATAGGATTGGTAGAGTACTTTTTTGTCAATCTGATTTCTATCCCAGTTAATCACAAGTTCAGTTCTATCTTTTTTTACCTTATTAAGATAATAATAAAATGCCAATTATTAACAACATCTATAGACCAGCTTGATTTTATAGAGATTAGTTATATGTGACACTATGTAATAATAGATATTTATTTTAGATATTAGTAAGATAATCAGGACTATATCCAATAACAATTATTATTTAATAGATTTTTTTATTGTGTATAGTGATTTTTATTTACTTTAAAATAATCTTGTATATATAATAATTTATACATAATAAATATATTATATACTATATATATTAACTAGCCCATTAAAAAAAATCTTATAATGCTCTCTTAATTTTTTCTAGAATCGAACCATCTCTCTTGATGTATTGGCATGTAAAAGGGCCATACTAGGTAATTTTATAGAGTAATCTAATTATTAGACTATTGCATTTGCTCTAGATTTGGGATTTCAATATAATCTATAGATTTCTTCTCCTATTTAGATCTTTCAATAATAAGTCTTATCACATTTTGACCATATTTTTATATATCTTATCTATATAATATTTATTTTCTTCAAAAATTTCAACCTTCTTAACTTATAATAATTTTTTGTGATCAATAAGATTATTAAAGTATCTGGTGCCAATCTAATCTTCATTCTGATGAACCACATAGTCAGTCCTATATTCCTTTACTTTATTAAGGTATCAATAAAATACTAATCATTTTTTAACACCTATAGACCAGTCTAATCTTGTAAAGATCTGTTACAAGTAAAGATGTGTTCCTAAAGAAGAAGACAAAAACAAAAGTTAAATGTTTCTTATTAGGAAATATTAAAAATTTTAAATTAATAACTATAAAAAAACTACTCACAATTGTTCTCCATTATCTAAATTATTGATTTATAGTATTTTCAACTTTTGTTTCTAATAAAATGAAGAGCTATAAATTTTGTCCCTCAAAAAGAAACATAAATAATCTAT